AAAACCTCTTATTCGTGTACAAAATGCAGCAGCCCGCCTTGTCACTCGTGCTCGAAAATATGACCACATTACAGACATTTTTATTAAACTTCATTGGTTACCAGTTGTACAAAGAATCAATTTCAAATTACTTTTACTAGTGTATAAATCTTTGTATGGTTTTGCCCCAAATTATCTATGTGAATTAATCGAATTTTATGTACCTAGTCGTAGTTTAAGATCTGAATCAAAGTTTCTTATTAAAACTCGTCAGGTGTGTAGTAAAAAGTCCAAGGTGTTATACAAAGACCGTGCTTTTGAAAATTTAGGTCCTAAACTTTTTAATGAATTACCTCTGTCTGTTCGTTCTAGTCCTTCAGTAGACATTTTTAAATCCAGACTGAAAACGCACTTATTTAAATGTGCTTTTAATATTTGACTGATTGTTTATTGTATCAGCGCCTTTGATCTTCATATGTTGGAATTGTTGCGCTTAATTAAATAAAGTTATTATTATTATTATTATTATTATTATTATTATTATTATTATTAATTAAGGGAGAACAGCTGGGAGAACAAATAACCTCGGTCTGAAACTGCAGTTGAATATTCCCGGGATAATTGCCGGTTATTCACCGAGACAATATACCATTCCGTTCGCTGTCGGACCTCGCGTTATGCGTGAAAACGAACGTAAAAATAGGACAAACAAAGGTCATAGCGCCGCAGTTAAGTAACAACTTCGCGTAGGGGTCAACAAACGCGAAACTATTTTTGAAGCGTTTCACGATTAATAATGTGCAAATATTGGTCAATTTTGCTAGAGTAAGTGTAGTAAAATGCCATCCGAGAACTTGACATTTCGACATCGGTCCGCGCCATTCAGGCATTTTGCTAGATCTCAAAGTAAAAGGAAATTTGTCGTATAATGATCGTTGTTTAAAGGTTGTAAACGCCAGGGGGGCAGCCAGAATTGTTTCGGGGTACACTCTCACAATAATCCGCTGTCCCCTTGGCGTGACTCTCATTTATGCACTTGTCAAGTTCAGATACGGTCGATTTCGTCGTTTTCAGATGGTCACATACTACAAACTAATAAGGGTTTGACCATAATTCGAAACTATGTAATAAATATTTAGTTTTTGCTTAACAGCAGATATATAGTGCATCCCACTCCGAGGTTTTACAATGCTCATCCCCTAATGGCTGCCATATCATATACTACTATCAAGGCCAGTAAGAATATCCTCATTTTGACCTCATGACAGGGGGTCCTTTACAATAAACAGCTAACTTGGGTCAATATAAGGTTAACGCTCCACACGTCTCACTCGCATGTTTATTAGTACGTGTTCTACTTTTAATGCTCTATTTCTAGGTTGAGTGCCAAGTACGAGTGTTTCCAAATTTCGTTGTTTCTTTTCATTTACTTAATTGTCAGTAAAATATTTCACAGTATGACTTCTCCTCTATTTAATAATACATGTTATGGAAATTATCGAGAATGTCCAACCCTATTGAATACATCACCAAACTACTGTGAAAGGTTAATTATTCACTGGGTTTGATTTTGCTTATTTCGCTGACTGGAAAATGCGCTAAATTAAAATCCGCTGAATATGTTAAATTTATCATAGAACACATTATCTAAATGATAAAACAGTGAATTTAATACCTACTGAATATGCCTGAAATGGTAAATCAGCAAAATATAAACCCAGTCAAAATTAGTCATTTTACAGTACTTGAGATTGGCTATGAATATACACACATTATGTTTTTTTTATAAAAAAAAACAAGAATCTAATAAACTAATATATTAATGAAAATCAACTCTTCTATTAAAGTCTAGTTCTGAATCAGTAAAATCGGTCAGTTGAAATCAATCCCTAAATCTGATACGAAGCACTTCTAGGCCAATTCCCCAGTTGCGCAAACATTCAATGGTGTCGACACG